ATTGTAAATGGGCTCCCTAAAGTTACATTGGAGGTAAATTTAAGGAGCACATGAGAAGGGGATGGCAGAAGAGGAAAAGAATGGAAAAGACTGAAATCTCTTTGTATTTCAGATCTATTTGGTTGAGACATTTCTACCATTTTGAATCCTAACACAAGAAGTGAGACTACAGCCCGCTAGCAAAGCTCCTGCACTTCCCTMAGGATCTGCCATTTAGTTATTTACATGAATGCTTGCTTTCATATGCGTAAATCTTGCCCAATAAATCCCAGTTTATCTTAAGGATTTTTTTTTAAGGCTTAGGAAGAAATTCTGCAACTCTTGCTTCCATATTTTGTTCCTCAGAGGCTGGAAGCATTATAGAGTTTCTAACAAAAAGTGAATTGAACAACTATTTAAAATTACACTCTGCAAAAGTGAGTGCACTTCAGTGCTTCAGAGCGAGTGTTTCTAGCTGGCAAATTAAATAGGGAAAATGCAATGCAAGGCTCATCTGTCATTTCCTCTGAACATAAGTTAACAAAAAGGTGAAGAGAAACAAACCTGAGATTTTAAAATGACTCCCAGGAATTCGGACATTGCCTTTTCTCACCTTATGCTCATCTCCTCCCRTGATCTACTGTGTTGATTTGTTAATTCAATATTGACACTTGAGGAAGTATGATATTTTATGAATTTCCTACATCAGCAGCTTTTCCCTCCAGGTCTCCCATCCAATTACTGACACCAAATAAATATACTAAACTTGTGCAGCGTGACCTGGTTACAGCTTACTGCAGTATAGCTCTAAGTTAATTGCAATTTTCCCTTGCAGTGACTTATTCACTCTCATGTCATGCTCCTAAGTATTTGTTTGGAAGATCTATGAATTTCATTAAAAACACAATTATTCTTAGGGAAAACAAATCTCATCGGATTAAAAAAAACCATTGTAACTCTAGTTAAAGTGGTTAGTGGCCTTTTAGCAGGCCAAAGAAAAATTGAGACAGGCCTCATTATTATACAGCAAAAAGCATGACTGTTTTCTGAGTTCACTGTATTGCAATGTGAGGATTGTGCCTTATAGTAGTTGCATTGCAATAGAGAGATTTAGCACAGCCCTTAGTCCTATATATCTTAATATGAAACATTTATGCTTCGCTTCTTCCATTATGTGTACCTGTATATTTTAGGAAAGCTAATTACATCATTACAGCTAGCTGTGGTGATCTTTTTTATGTAGTGTATTTTAGATAACATTCAAGTGAGGAGTTATGGGAGCAGCATTCAGTTCCCCCAATAACACATACCTAAATCAGAGCACTTTCTTATGCATCGGTGCCTTTGTGCCTCGTGTTCCTTTTGTAACTGATTTATTCCTCCCTTTTCTGGCACCTTATTTTGGTCCTTTTAAYCTCCCCTCAGCATCTAATGTCGCTAGCTTTAGCCATTGACACAGAGCAGAGAAATAGATGGAATTTAAACTGTCCGAATATGACTAAATTGTCACAAAGGGCGTTAAGAATTGCTTACTAGCACGTTGTAAAACACCCAGACTTCCTATGTAAACAAGGCCAACACTAATAAAAAAAAACAAGGAAGGAATGTTACTTTTGCTAATAAGTCAGGCCATTCATTTACTAGCACAATGATACAGTATTAACATAACTGGCTATTTAAAGCTGCATTCCACAGACCCAATCCTAAAAGAAAAAAAAAAAAGAAGAAAAAAGAAAAAAATCTTGGCTTTGTAAAGTAAAGCTTTATGCATACATCTTCTGTCATTCCTTAAGATGAATATTCTGCCCTATTCCATACTCATGATTTTCAATTTTCCTTCTTCTGTTTGACTAATGAGATAAAGTAGCATTTCTGCATGAGAGCATTGTTTCAAACTAATTAATATTCAAATAACTTAGAAGAAAGATTAATCAATCTTAGGTTTCTAGCAGTCTATTTTCTCTGCTTACATWTGAAAAGATCTGTAGGTCTTAAAGCTGCAAGGTTTGAAAAAGTCCAGTGATAGTACAGGCAAAAATTAACATCAGACATCCAAAGAAAACTATGAACATAAACTTCCCACACTGGCCTATTCCCATGGTGTTTGGACCCTTCAAGTATTTGTAGACATTTACCATATTTTCCCTTAGTCATCCATTGGCCATGCTCATACATACCTCAGCCTTTTAGTCTTTCCTCATAAATCAAACTGTGCAGCCCATGATAACTTTTGTTACGTCTAGCTTAGGTTTTGCCAGTTTGACCACRTCTTTCAGGGAGCAAGGTTAATTTCAGTATTTACAGACTGAACTGTAATTGTTGCTCCTCCTAGGGTCAATCCCAAAGATGGGATGCTTCTTGAAGGAAGGGCTTGGCATGGATGAAAGTTTCAGAGATGTCGGAGATATGAGAGATGGGAATGAGGCAGCATTGGGTGTAGGCCGCTGTCCAGAGCGAGGGTTCAGACCAAAGGGGAGGTGTTCCTTTCTTCCAGAATTAATGCTGAGCGTGGGGACTGTGTTGATGCTGATACAAAACATAACTTTAGTAGAATTAGAAAATTAATGCATGGAACGAGAGGAGATGATATCATACCTAGATATTAACAGAGGAAACAGGCAGCATATCTAATTCATTTTGGCTGGGATAGATGTGGACTGAAAGCTTAAGCCTGAGGGCAGAGGAAGATGATAAATGGCAGAGTCCTGCCTTGGAGAGGAAAGGGGGAGTCGCAGAGTTTGTGTTGAGAATGGTGGCAAGCTTCTCTGGGAGGTGAGATGTAGAAAGCTTYCAGCACCTCAGGTCAGGCCTCCACACCTGACCTAAAAATCTCTCCATTGACCTGAAATAAACATCCGTGATGTGACCACAGTAATTCATAGAAAGGTGTGTTGTAGTATACATCAAGAAACAATGGTGAAAATGCTCCTTTTAAAGTTTTACATGTCTTACCCTTTTGGTTGGTTGACGAAGTGGATTAACCTGCAGGCTTTTTGATGTTCCCTTCAAGCATGAACTACAGAATTTGCAGCTGCCCTCTGATAAGCAAATCAACATCTTAAGTCTTATCTGCAACCTAAMAAGCTAGGTAAAACAAAATGTGGTACCCTTTGCTCATCTGGGCTTCTTTTTCAATCTCATGGCTTGCATATGTGTTCCTTGCTTTGATAAATGGCTCAAGTCAAGCTTACTAGAATATATCCCCTAGATTACCAGAAAAGGATRGAAAAAATATCAGTGCAGAGAGAAGTTAGTTTTTCTTTCCAGACTCAGTAGAATTAAATTCTGTCAGTGAAAGATTGTTTATAAAATACATTGTCAGATGTTGCTCATTTCCATGTGAAACARGAACTCTTTTGCCAAATATTCATGGGGTATTTGTTCCATGTTATGCATAGTGCTTATGTTGGGTTGCTGTCATTGGTCAAATAAAAATGAAGGCCGAGTTCCAAGCTCTTAGTCACTGCTGCTTGAATATGTGCAATCAAGGAGGAGAGGGGAAATGCTGTCCTCTCTAAAGAAACCACTGGGCCAATAATGACAATTCCAAGTAATTAAATACAGTGATTTCATTAATTTTCCATATCTAATTTACATTGCAAAGATGAATTCATTGTTGATAAAAAGAAAGTAAAATTCTGCTTTCAAATTGGTCAGGAAAGAGCTTTATAGGGTAGGGCCAATAAGACTCTATCAGTCGTAGTCAATTAAGCCATTGAGAGGTCATCGTGATGCATTAGCATGCTGCTGACGTAGTTGTGGCCAATGGCAGCAAGTGCTCTTCCAGGCAATGACAAGGCCTGATCCATGTGATGGACAACCTTGTACCTTAATGAACAGAGCAAACGGGGTCTAAAGGACCCAGTGACTGCTCTTCCTCTGGTGAGTGGATGTATCATTAGGCTGTATTTTAGATCTGGTCTCTGGGGTCCCAGAAATGCAGTGTTTCCCTCTCCGCCTATCACATGCATCTGGTTTCAGCACTTGGGTTATTCACTGTTGTGAGAATAGTATCATGTCAAGCCCTGTTCCAAACTGGTTCGCTTCTGGAGAGTGAGGGATACAGATTAGGTGCATTTTTGAGACACGAGGACACCAAACCCCGGGGCCCAGCAACTACAGCAGAAGGTTGTGGAGAAGAAGAGACTGTGTTCAAAACCCGCAATCCATAACTCCTCTGATTCCACCAAATCTATTTGTTTTAGATGCTGAGTGCTTAACACACCCAGAACTGTAATTGATACTTCCAAAACTCCTGAAAAAAAGCCCAGAGTTGTCAGAATTATATATACTCTTCATTTATGATTCACACATTTATCTTTTGCAGCTGTTTTTGTGAGTATATGAGTAATTGCAAGGCAAAGATTATACACCTTCCTTATCTTCCCACTTTCCTGTTCTTTATGTTGTTATTTTTGTCTTTTCCTCTACATCTCATTTTTTTATATTKAATCATATAAAACATTAGATAGAAGCAAGAGTCTTGCGTACTTTGTCCAACTTGAAAATTGAGCCTATCCCTGTGGATAAGCACGTTTTAGACTTAAGAGCTTAGCAGTAGGCTCTCTTCTGTGTTATGAGGCTCCTATGAGAGAATCAGTGTGGTGTCCACCACCCTCATTAAAGATCAAGGCAAAACAAATCCAACACTGAAATTACATTGTTATCAATCTCTTTAAAGTCTTGGAATAGCAAAGTAGTTTAARTATGTCTTTGTGTGCTCTGCCATTAAGACCCATGTATAAATGAATCTTTTCCCTAAAGACTGTAGCCTCTGCTCAGCAGGAACTTTATTGAAAAGATATTTTTTTTTTCAGAAGTGAGCAACTGCTATCAATAATTCCATTTACCAGCTGCTCTGAGTTCATTTGATTTTGTGGATTGGCTTTTTGGGAGTCAATATGGGAATTTAAATGCAAATCCTATGCATGCTTTTATATTGTATTTTAAGACTTAGGAAGAGAAGAAATACTGCTATGCATGCGAGAGCTTAATGATACTTTTGTATTTTCATTTTTAAGAGGCATTTGTCCCCTGAAGAGTTCCAGGAAGTCTTCAAAATGAGCATTGAGGAGTTTGATCGTCTGGCACTTTGGAAGCGGAATGACCTGAAGAAAAAGGCCCTGCTTTTCTAGCCCCTCCCAGATAAAATATGTGCTTAATCAAAACAAAAAATAGTCTTGCCAGAACTATCACATGCACTTGCTGTTGAACCATTGTCCAGCTTCATTGTGTTATTATGTGTCGGGGGAAACGAAGGACAGATTAGATGGCAGAGCATTGGAGTACAGAGAATTTGCTAATCTTGCATGACCAGCTGGTTTTGTCAGTAACTCCTGGTCCTACCCAGTTTACAACATGCAAATAGTTAGCTTTAAATTTATTGTCGCTTGCAGTTATTGCTTGATAAAGCAGGAGGTCTTGAAAGGAAGAGCAAAAAGTGTAGCTGTGACAAAGAAAAATCATCTAACATTTTGTTTCAGTAAATTTTACAACAGAGATGCAAGTTTTACAAAGTCAAGCAAGTAATGAACACAAAATTCTCCAAGTGGGGAATCACATGCTATTAAAAATCTGGTAAAAGCCAAAGAAAAGCATGTCAGCAAGCAATTACTGTAACTGTTTTAAATGTGGTACTTTTTAAGAATGAAAGCAAAACTATGGAAGCACCTTAAATCTAGTTCATATCCTTTAGACACAAGCTACTATCTTAAAGATCRTATTTGTCTAAATGGTAACTAGCTATCTTTAATTACAACACAAGAGTTTTTATTTTATTAAAAATATATTGTGACATGAAACACTTATACTAACTAAAATGTATAGAAACCTACTTAAAAATGTAGTCCCATTCATCAGGAAAACTAAAGCCTTATTGAAAACTGGTTTAAGAGTGTATGATGCCAGTAAACTGTGTTTTCCTAATATTTTGGGATGTTTGGAGAATTTTTTTTTTTTACATTTCATGCTGATAAAAATATCATGTAATCTTAATTAAATGTAGATAGATATGTCTATCTATAAATTCTTTTCATTAATCTATGTTCTAAGTGAAGGCATTCTTACTTTCTCCACTTTCTGGCTTTACATACTAAGCCAGGAGAATTATGATGGCAATTGGTAGGTGTGGAAATGGAACAGTTCAGCATAAAATGTAACAAAAAAGCTCGATGTGCTCTGTCAATAATATATCAAATTATAATCCAATATAAGTATTATAAATTGTTCATGCACTAATATTTGCATGTTTCTGTAAAAATCAGTCTTTTTTAAAAAAAGAACAACTGTGTGATACCGGTGCAGTACCTGGAAACTTTATGTTAAACCACAAGCAAAGCTAACAAAATCTAAGCATTTGATATGAGCGTTAGACCTTAATATCTCCTCCAGCTGAAAGACTGTATTAAGTTTAATAATTTCATGTGGTCAGAAGTACTATTGCTGACAAAGAATGTTTTAAAGTGAGTTGCTAGTTTTGTGCAATGCTAAAAGAGCATTACAGAAAGGTACATTTTTCAGCCATGTGTCAGTATTCTGCATTTTTACTGCCTTGAATGTTTGTACTCACTTCCTACTTCACTATGTCTTTTTGCATTTCCTTAAAATAACTGGTTAATATATGCACTACTACACACTGGTTCAATTGACCCAGCATTGGAAGTATCATAACATTGAACATGCCTTCTTCCAACTAACTTTCAAAATCCATGCTGTTGGAAATAAATATTTTCTCATGACCTAAATGTTTTGTCTGATGATACAAATGGTTAAAAAAATCATTAAAATGACCACATAACTCAGTGACTGTGCTAATGTGTGTATGGATTGTACTGGTGCTATGAATAGGTTCTTCCTGTGATGTTAATATGTAATTTGCATTAGATTTGTCCAGTGAGGAGAAAGGATACTTCTTAATACTTAATATACATCTGAATATTGAGTACTACAAAGTTGGTTATGATTTAAACAATACATGTAGAAAATGTACACACACTTCACCAACCAAAAGCTGGGTCATTGGTGATGGTCAGTGTACACCGTCATTAACCAGTCTTGACTGAAAATTTCTCATTATCAATAGCAGACAGCCTCTGTAACATCCTTCACCCTCAGTATAGATGGTTATGTTTGAAAACATGCGTGAAAATTAGCAGCTTACTGGAACTGGCCGGTCCAAAATGTGACAAGGTTCACTGATACCATGAAAATCCATATCTARGGGAGCAAGTAGTTGGAGAATGATGATGAGTATGTTTGCTTGTCGTTGATAAAGGCAGCTGYTCTCATCTATACCTTCTTTGGACATCAGTTTAGTTACAGGCATTTTCTCCATGAGAAATAAATTGCAGGTAGATTGAAGAAGTCCATATACTTCCAAGATCAAGTTTGGTATGGATCTTCCTAAATGATTTGAAGACTGCTTAACCACAGCCACTATTGTACTRATGTAGGGTTTAGTGTACCTTGCAAGGGAATTGTGAATTAATAAGTAATGTGAGTGATGAACAACTCTGTRTTCTTGTATTGTTTTTCACGGTTCTATTTCAGATGAAAAGTGAGGACAGTTAGAATATGTGAGCTCTGTTTTATCTATATATGCTCTTTTGAGCCAGTTAGCATATCAACAGTTTAGGTGTCTGCTGAAGGTCATAGCCCTACCTGAACAAAATCAGATGTAGCTGTTGTTTTACATGTCCCCTGTAYAGATGTTTTAGTCACTGAACATCAGTTTTTGTGACAATGTAGAACCGCATCTAGGAGTGGTGCCCCATCATCTGTCTGTGTTCATTTACAAATAAATTGTTCATTCTGGGCTTGCCATTATGGTCAGCAAAGAGAAAGAAACATTTTCACCGCATCCTAATATTCGAAATGAGTTGTGCACTTTGAACCTATGTGTTTCTGTCCATTGAATATAGAGAAAGCTTAGCTGAGTGCAGGTGCACTGCAAACTTAGATTCCTGCTGTATACTAGTGGCAGGATTGACAAGKGAGAAGAATTGTCACTTCCTAGACTGTGTTTCCAAATGACTTTCAAGCATCCAGTTTTATTTCTGAATTGCACAGAGGCCTAAACATGGTAATTTTGTGTGTGCTTTGCACTGTTCACCAAGGAAGCATATGTTAGATGCCAAACACGCAAAGATGCTTGATAAAATAGTTTATCAAGTTAGTTCCKACTGCCAGCCAAACCAAAAAGGAATCTTGGCTTCCATACATAAAACCTTTACTTCCTTGAGACAAACAAGGACTCTCGTGTATCCTGCTCATTTCATTCTCCCGAAAACTTGAAATGGTTTGTAGACGTCTGCTTTGTGCAGTGGTGGTGTAACTCATGAAGCTGTTCTGTTTTTTCAGATGATACACGTCAATGGATCACTCTGTATTTAAAGCTTCTACTGTCACATGGTGTGCAGACCTTTCCAGCATAACTAAATTCTCATTTACAATAGGATACTGTATGCTAGTTTTAGAACCAGCCAGACAGTGTCAAAGGGCCAGTGTTGTAATTTGCTTCACTGCTAAGTCTTCTGCACATCACCTAGCTTCTATAAACCAGACATAGCATAACAGGAGACTACAACAGTTCTGTTTCTAAATATATTGTATTTTCATCACTTTTAGTCAGTCTACTTTCAATAACCTAGAGCATATCATTAAATGTGAATAGACTAACATGCACATAATCAATGGTCTGGTTTATTTCTAGAGTCCATATGCTAATCTGAGATAGCATTATGAAATGGAAAACGCATTTCAGGGTAATTACATCACTATGTGCAGAAACTTCCATCTAGGAGTGTGGTCCAGCACTGGCAGTTACAAACCAAGGGTCTCAGTAAAACATCAGTCATTTTTTAGATAATGACTTTTTACAGTTGTTAAGATGTTGTTCCACAGTGATGTTTTTGAGGAAATGCTGTCTTTCAGCATTTTGTGACTATGCAGCTATGGAGCTTGTAAGTATCAATGTAATTCATCAAGGATTCCGTTTTGATCTGTATTCAGGAAGCAAGGGAATTCTGTCAGATTTCATTTTCATACTTGGCTCTGATTTGTGTGTCTCAGCTGTTCAGGACAACCCCATGTATGACTTAATTCTCACCTCATGTATTGTAAAGAAGGCATATCTCAAACACAGCAATGAAAACGCCAACTGATTTCATCATCACAGGCTTTGAGACAAAGCAACACATAAATTTTTGTGGTTGACTTACTAATGCTGAGCCTATCTGGCCAACAAGTCCAGATAGGAAATCAGGCATGCCAAATTGTCGTTATAGCTGTCTGAGGAGGCTGGACATTTTCTCTCCAACCTTCTGGTATTTCTTTTCCTTGTGGTTCAGTGGAGAAGGCTGTGATTGCAGAAACATGAAAATACATAGTTTTGAGAAGCTACCTGGAATCGAATAATCCTTTGAGATGAGGATTGTTTTACATGAACCAAAGCAATGCCTCATCTCATACGCCTCATTTTGTWGAGGAACTTGTTTAAATTTCCCTAAGTATGGTCAAGCCAGGCCATCAGTTTTATTGGCTTTTTCACAAATCTGCAGAAAAACCATGTTCTGCCATTTGCAGATGAGCTCGATTGCATCCCAAACACTGCCATCAGTAGGGCAGAAAAGCTCCTGAGTGTCACTGCAGTCTCCTGATCCTTTGGCATGTGTGTGAGGCAAGGGTCACATTCCTTGAAGTTTCCTAAGATCCAAATTGGCCCWTCCCCGATGTGGTTACAGGATAGCTTAGAGGCATGGCTACAGTTTTGCAGCTATCTTGAATATCTACAAAAGAGAAAAGACTGGTTTTGAGATTGCAATGATAGACTGCAACCCTCTTGTACATGTAAAGTTATCCTGGAGCTTGTATTTCATTTCCAGGCCTAGGCCGCCTCTGATGCTTGGCCAAATCCTCACATGCTCGCTGGAGGTGCTGGCTCATGTTGGGGAGTTTTAGTTTCCTTCTCATTTTTCCTGTTCTGTGAAAAGCCATGTTAGAAATGGTGACATCCAATAAAAACGTGTGCCTTTGAAACATGAGGGCTCACTAGTTTACTTCACTGGTGATAAAGTTGTCAGCACACCCAGCAGACTGAGGCTGGTTTGTTGCGTTATTTCAGCCGGGTATTAGCTCCTCTTTGTATCAGCCACATCTCTGATTAAAGCTAACAGGAGTAAACAGTTTTATGTGTTATTTCGAAGTGYGCTTACTTTGATCATTTAGTACCTTTTCTTCCTACCCTTCAGGCTCTGTCGTCTTGAACGTTATGCAGGTAAGTCAAAGTTTGTAATTTCCATTTTTCAAGGGATTGAACAAATATATGCAGCATTCAAGCCATTTGGTGCAGGCCAATAGTCCCCTTCCAGCCTGGCCAACATCAGYGGTTCCAGGATGATCTGTAGAGAACCAACACCTGGCGAAGGAAACCACTCCACACAGGCATGAAATACATGTATTTCAGGCTTCAATTAGCAGCTGTGAAAAAATTACCCTTTGTTATAAGCAAACTGGATATCCTTGTTATCCTTTTCTGAATATTGCTGAATTTGTGTCCTCAGTGATTTGCACTTGCATGAAGTTTTCTTGTACGCAACATCCTTTTCTATTCAGCTACTTTTTAGCATAGTTGTTGATACATTAATGGTATGATTCAAAAAT